TAATTGTTAGAATTCCCGAATCTCCGACGGACACGATGTGATTCACGTAACCTACGTAGCGCACGGGTGACAGTAGGACAACTATAACAAATCAAAAGTATAATATACAGTGACATGTTTGAAACAGATTTTAAAAGACAGCGGAGTGTTTGTTGGTGAGTATAAAACGAGGAAGCTATATAAAACTATATAGGACAGTTGAGAAACGTGAATTACACTTTAAGAAGCAAGATCAGAAGCAAGTATACAATAAAAAATGCTATGCAAAATGATGTGCGTAAAATACATTAAGACTATACAATACATATGTATTATCTTGGAAACGGTTCCGCTTGTTATACTGGTTACCCTGACAAAGGCACATGAAAATTTAAAAATTGGCATTCCGATTTGCGTCAATGGTCTGCCTCTCATTCCACTGGTTAAGAGAATAATGAAGAAGAACGTCACACAAAGTGATAATCACATTCATAATTTAGTTATGAAATGAATGAACACGACATTCTGAGGGTTTTGTTTGAATGATCGGTGTGTCCTGTTCTGCTCGTCGTCAAGCACCATTTGATGGATCAGTCGAAATGTTGCTATGTTCTCCGATGGCGTTGATTTTATCAGCTAGAAATATTTGGCCAACAATAGCTAGAATGTATGACTTGTTGTAGGATGTATTATAGTGTGCTTTTGAACTTGAATGTTTTGTGATAATTTCCCTGCACAATGTAGCGTTGTCGTGATTTGTTTATCTTAAGAATTGTGCATACTAAGATAGATTATATCGATGTTTACACGTGTGAATTGTTATAAAACATTCATTGTCAGCTAGCAGTATAAAAAACCAAACCAGCCTGCGTGTCTGTACTTACGTCAATCCTTACTCAGCTGTTATTTCTACTACTTTGAACAACATCCATTACTCTTTCTGTCTTCCCGTATGTATAACATAAACGTGACTGGCATGTTAGACTATCAATGAGAGAGAACAAATGCCATGTTATCCGGCAATGTCATGAGCGTATTTAATACCAATACTATCTTTGATAAAGCCAAGCAATTCTGGTATTCTGTGGATCTCCTTGTACTTGTCGAAAATCTCCACCATACACCTTACCGCAGTGTACGATGTGGGTTTGGTTATTCAGAAAACGTTATATTCTCCATCTTTTCTTTTCTTTTCGAATATTTTGTGAAATGAGAAATGTTAAATAATTATAGTTATATGGTTTATAAAACACTAACCGATGAGAGCGGAATTGGTGGTGATGCATCTGTTGAAACATTACTGTAAAATATTTTATTTTAGCTGGAAGTAATTTTCGTTGAAAAGACATTCTGGCTGCATTGAATAAAGTTCATCCGTTGAGTTTATTCATCGAGTTGAATGTAAAATACAGGATTTTTACTAATTCATTCCTGGATTTTTACTGATTCATTTCTTCAACGAAAATGAATTCTAGGAAAATAAAATAATTCACAGTACTGTCCAATGCCTCTCTGTCGTATGTGCTGCACATTTAAATCTGTAAAGTGGTATATAAATTAGATTTCTATTTTAATCACAGTCATATACACTGCTAATTTCAACGATGGTTGAACTCAATGATGCTCTTGTTGCCAGGACTATAATCAGAAATGATGATAAAAAATTATATACTTGGAGTGGGTCTTCTATTCGTGAAATACATGATATTACAATTAATCCAAACTCGCCATTCATTTGCCGTCTTTAAAAGAAATGACGTAATCAGGCACATCAGTCCCGTCTGCGTTTGTAGTGTAAAGAAACGCATGATATGAAGAATGCTATACTTACTTTTACATTAAAATATATTCTTTAGTTTAAGCTTGGAATATAAGAACTCGGCTACTCTACATTTGACTAGCAATTGATGACGTCACGATTCGCTATTTGCATATTTAATGTACGTTGTAGTCGAATGAACCAAGTCTTACATGTACTAACTGACGATGTTTACTTGACAGAAGTCCGCAACTGTCATAATCGGCTTTAGCGAGAGAAAATTTCGTCATAAATGAAAAATCTCATTTGTAAGGTCAGGTTGAAAAACTGAGATGCAAGTAACTGTTTTTGTTCTTGTGGATTTGTTATCGATTATTGTCAGTCCTTTTTTTTCTTGTAAATTTTCTTATACGACTTGTGTCGTTTGGTATGCTTCTTTCTACTATGTAAGACAAGCGCACAAGTGCTAGACGGAAAGACACACTATCATAGACCACAAACAGACTATTAGTATAATGTGCCAACGGTTATTTTGATGTACAGGTGGTTGCATGCTCTTACTAATTGCATTGCCCCTGCTCCACGAACCGGTGCAGATGTGCCTAGGAGACTACTCTTTACAATATGCTGTGAATCAAATGAGGAAATGATAAAAAAAGATTATCCCAACTATTTACTAAGAATGAAGAGTGTTAAATCAATAACCCGATTTCTTTTATTTGCAATATTTATTTTCCCCCATAAAACACAATTGGTCTTTGAGATAGTGATCTACTTTGTATATTTAAAGGAAAGAGATGTCGCACTGCGCACGAGTGGAGTGTATTCGTTCTTAGACTTGACCGACAAGTGGACCGCAGGCTCGACTGGAGGTCAATTATGTGAAGGAATGGACTTCATTGCGCAATAAAGCAGCCATAGCAGTAACTATCGATTTATATTCCAATAAAACATTAAAGGGCGGCAGTCGTCGTGCCGCGTCCTGTTCGATATGGAACTCATAGCGACGTGTACAACACGTGTAAAATACATTGTTTATTTACATGAAATTCGAACACGCGCTGCGCGACGACCACCGCGCTTTAATGTGCCATCAGTGTCGCGGAAATACGGTCACTGAAAACATAAGCTATACACAATATATCAACGTTGTACATTAAATCACTTGCAAGTAGAAAAAGATGGCCGCGGGGTTGGGGGCGCAATCTTTTGAAATCCAGTTTTGTCAGGCGAACCTCGGGGATTACAGGGATACAAGATGACAACTTTATCAGGGCCCTGTGCAGAATGTTAAATGCGTCGCCATCTTGAGGGACTAGGCCTCTCTCTGATGGCCTCTCGTTGAAGATGTTATGTGCTATTTCCCATAATAGTGTCCGGGCATCACAATTTCCTACGGTTCCCATCGCGTGACCGATTTCAACAAAATGTTGACTACTCGATCCTTAGTCTTCACGTCGCATTTCACGTGACTTTAGCCTTGTGTAGGGACACTTTTTCTATGCAATTGTGTCTAAAATACCATTTGGGTACGATTTGTTGTTATATTTAAAAAAATAATAACAGCTATCGCTGCTTTAACTGACTTCTAATACGCTAAAAGCTGTATTGGTATAATTGTGTACACGTATTTCAGGTTTTGTTCCCATCGGTCTTCATATTCAGTATTGAAAGTTGATGACGTCCCATTGCATTATCAACTCATGATTATGTATGGTATACTTTAAACTTGGTCAACGCCTTCCAATACAAGTTGTTGGCCTTTGAGCTTGGAGAAGCGAATCCAAATCCGTTTACCTTGGACAATGAAATATTCCTTGTACTTTTTTTTTTCATTGTCTCAATATATTATCAAGAAAACCACCACGAAAATGATGATTGTAGAAAATAATGTTCACTTCGAAAGTGAATACAACTTGCAGTAGCATAAAATAGAATATTTGAACACTGGGTGGCGCTACATTGTTTACATCATTACTAACTACGGAGTAAGGGAAAACAACATTACGATAAAAAAACTTACCGTTTTCGCGGTGTGAAATTCTTTTGTTCTTTGAGGGGAAACTTACTTTGGCAAGATAATTCAGCAAATTTGTATTAAGAATAATTCATAACGCAACGTATTACCTATGCACCCTTAAATAATTTTCATAAATACCGATTACTCAAGAAAAAAATATTTCATTATATTATTATATTATATTCTCTATATTGAATTATGACTGAAAGAAGCTGAATGAAATTACAAACTATATAGTGTGTTCAACAACTCATGTGTGAACAATAACTTTAATAAATATGTTTTTTCTTCGTGAAAATACTGTATTTTTCTGCATAAAAGCGAAAGAATTCCACAATGTCAAAACGGAAAGTCTCTGACGATGCTGAATGTAGTCTTCTTTCTAGACTGAAGGCTGGATTGGTGGGCCGCTTTTCTCGCTCTGTGCTTCTATACGGAATGCACAAAATTGGCCAGTAAATTCCTGTATACGTTTCCAATGGAAATATTCAAAGTTTTTAAATAAATACCTTGTTCACAGTGCCATTTCGCATGTAGGATATTGTTTTTCTCTATTTAGAGCAGTTATATTAGATACAAGACCAAAATAATTCATTTCAATTATGAAATCCTGCTAGACTATTTTCATGACTAACTGTACTTGATTTCTTCTTCCTTCTTTGTTATTCGTTGTTCTTGTAATTGTTTGTGTGTGTGTGTGTGTGTGTGTGTGTGTGTGTGACGAATAAAACAAAAGATCAGTCGCCTATCGTGGGTAATCACATTCGATTGAGTCATGACATTCTTGTTACCGTGTAGTTTAGAGCTTACGGAGAAAACCAGGGGAAGCACGTAGGCATACTGATTACTCCATTGTTGTGGTTTCACTTATTGTCAACATCCCGCATGTTTCGAGTGAATATTATGCCGTATTATAACAGTACTTTTTGTACATATTGTATTATGTATCACGACTATGCAAATATTTTTTACGTCAATGGCTTGCAGTCATTGGCTGATGTATTGCCTCGCTGAAATGGATAGGGGATTGCAGGGGAGAGATGGGAGGGGAGGATAGTAATAAAATGGACGATCTGCGGGTGAACCTTTAGTGGACAGTGTGAGCGTAATCTGCCAATCGAGTTGAGCTTTCCTCCACATCCCACGGCAACAAATGTTTAGTGTATAAACAATATTCCCTTGTTATTAGCGTAATGTATTGAGATCGTCCACGATAGCGCCCTCAATTGACAGCTTTGATCGATCTCGTGGAGTCTCGCCAACAACGTAACTACGCGAGAAAACTCCGTCTCTTGAACCTCCATTTTGAAAATGGTAAGGCGGTGTATGTAGTTATTTAAAAAACAATCTTTCATCATCCTCTTTGCTTATTAATCAATTTAATTAAAGTTACAATATAGTAAGATTTGAATACCTTAACCTTCGTTCCGTGAAACAATTTCTAGTTTAGTCATGTGCAAAAATGCTCAAATCGTCCATCTGAAATGTATACACAGTTGTCGAAAATCCATGTTGTTGCATGTTATTGGATGACTGTGTGGCGAGAGAACTTGTATTATAGAACTATCGTTTATAGAACTATCACGAAAGACAAGACACTTTTGCAATAATAATAATAATTAACTTCACAATCGTTTTTTTTTTCAGACCGCAAAATTAAAGAAAACACGGAAGCTTCGTGGTCATGTCAGTCATGGACATGGACGTATCGGGAAGCACCGAAAACATCCTGGCGGTCGAGGTAATGCAGGTGGACAGCATCATCACAGAATAAACTTTGATAAATAGTAAGTATTGAGACGTAATTGCACGAAATAATATTTATGCCATGCATGGGCGAGTTGCTCAGTAGTTGATGCAGTCTGTGTTGTGTGTATAATTTTATCGGAGGTTGATGGGGGAAGAATATTCAGTCTCAGTAGTAGGACTGAAAATGAAATTGTTTTAGTGTACATTATGTATAATGTACGAGAGTCGATGGAAACCCCCCCCCCCCCCTGTGGGTATGTATGGCAACTGTAAGGATAATCTTGGGATGTTTAAAGAAGCTTGAAGTAATCATGCATTTTTTCATGAAACTTCCCATCCGGGAATAACAGTGTAGGGTGGGGATAACAAAGCAATAATAATTTGTATGGACTGCATATAGTGTTAGCAGCCCTAGCTTGTATGTTGCAAAAGCTGTATCCAGTCCATGGAGGTTTTATCATATACCTTATAGGTTCCATTAAAAATAAGTACAAGACACAGTAGCATTCTGACATTCGGTCACTACCATGACAACTCTATCCAACTAGAATCCTGACTGAATGCGCAATCCCTTTGATGTCATTAAATTTCAATCCTAAATATCTTTCTGTATCAGACAGCTACATGTTATCTTAGGTAATGTAATAAAAGTTTATAAAGGCAAGCCCCACAATACAACAGCAAAATTCTGTACTGTCAAGATCAAAATGGTTGGAACCAGTTTGGACTGAGCATCTTGTTAAATCTATAAAATGAATAAGTTTGTCTAAATATGGAAAATTATTGTACAATTTGGCAATCAGGTTTCTCGTAGAGAACGACAATACAAGCAGAATCTGCCCATGCCGGTCACAATTTCCGACCAGGACAAAAAGTTGGCAACCAGCACTATTCTATTTGTTTATGATACACACAACCACAATGCAAAAAATTAGCACACAACAAAACTTTAATGAAAGAAAACACCGCTGTTCAAAATCAACGTACACGTGTGACATCGGCCTAATGTGTTTTTGTTAACCTCCGATTGACATTCTGTTAGTTTTAACAAATGAACCAGATCGGAATAAGTCGTACATGAAGATAATGGAAGGGAAGACAACGATAGATAAACAGAAGGATTACCATTGCAAGTTTAGTTGTGCGTGGGATTTGTCGAGTTGAACAATAACTTGCTCACTTCACCGGCAGCGATGCATCAAGCTGTCGTTCGTTTAATCTGCACTTGCGCTCGAGTGTAGAAAACTTCATTGATGTTTTTGGCTTCATGACTCGTTCATAAAATTAAATTCATAAGCTATATTCAGTCAGTGATACAAGGAATACTTATTTTTCACTATTACCGATAATGTGATTTACCAGCATTCCATTGGAAAAGAAAACAATTAAATTATTTTTTCCACTGTGGCCGTGACAAACAGACGACATGCTTTGACGAAAAAAATGGCTGCCAGGTCAGAGGTCAATGTCTCAAAATGCGTGTTTTAGACGTGATTGCGAAAATAAAGTGTATATATTTTTTCACTTTTATCAAAGCAGAGTAATTTTACATTGAAATATTTAAAATAAAAGTTAAAATAATTAAAGTAGTGAAATCGTAACTAGTAGAATGGAAAAATGAATATTAATTAGCTCATGAATTTTAATGACCTCATTAATAAGTTGTAGAATGGTTGAATGACCATAGCTAATTTGCATAGAAATTAGTAATTTTGAGGGTAGGTAGGGAAAGCGCAGAATTTATTTGGCTACATCTGTAAATCTTAATGTGGTGATGACAATGTTGTGTATATGGAGCCATTGTATTTCAGCTTGATTGGGGGGGGGGGGGCCTCGTGCTGCTGCAACAAGCCTTGTACTATGGTTAACACTCAGCAAATATTGTTTTTGTCAAATTTGTTTTCTGTAAAATACTTAAATTTTTTTGCTGAAAATATTTCAGGTTTTTGTGTTTGATATGCATTGATATTTGACTGCCATGGCACGAATAAACATACATTTTAACTATATTCTGAACTCCAAACTATGACGAAATAACCACTTGTGCAATTAAAAATGGTGTTCTGCGACTATTATATACCTCTATTGTATTGTACACTGATTACATTTTTGTTTTTTCTTTTCCTACTTTCATAGCCATCCAGGTTATTTTGGTAAAGTTGGTATGCGTCACTTTCACTTGACGAAACAGAAATATTATAAGCCAGCGATAAATCTTGACAAACTGTGGTCCCTTGTGAGTGAGCAGACAAGGATGCATTATAAAGACAAAACAGACAAGGCACCTGTCATTGATTGTATCAGAGCCGTAAGTAACAACGTTTTGTGGAAAAATGGTTTTATTTATTTTCACATTGCAACAAAGAAAAATTTGTTGAACGCCGTCTGCAATTTTGAGTAACCCCTGCATATTGTCCCCTCACCACCACATCAGCATGTTACACAAATTTGGGGATTTTCAGCAGAGAAAGTTCCTTTATTTAGCCCCCACCCGGGAGGGGGCTTGTAGTTTTGCCTCCGTCAGTCTGCGTCCTGAGTGATTTCTCAGAGATGGCTGGACAGATTTTCTTGAAATTTGGTACAAAGACAGTGGTCAATCATACATGTTGCACGTCTATTTATTTTTTGATTCAATCAAATTTGGCCAACTGGCAGTCATTTTTAATTCCAAAATTCAGTCAAATTTGGTCCTTGCGTGTCCATCATTTCTCGGATATGGCTTGACCGATTTTGTTGAGACTTGTTGCAAAGACAAAGGGACCACTAATACAGATGCACGTTGTTTTACTTTTTTTGAAATGATCAAATATGGTCAACCGGCAGCCATTTTGATTGTTAATCATGGCTTTTGTCTGTCTATTGATATTTCTCAAGAGTCTTGACTGATTTCAATGATACTAGGTACAAAGACAGTGAGGAGGTATACATATTCACATGGATTTATTTTCTGATTTGATCAAATATGGCTGCCTGGCGGCCATTTTGAATGTCAAAATCTTGTAAAATCCTGCTTTTTGGGCGTGTCCATCATTTCTTGGAGATGCCCGTATCAATTTTGCTGAGACAGAGTAACCACTGGTACCGATGCACAATGATTTATTTTTTCAAGGAATCAATTAATGAGCTCGTTTGCATATTTAATTATTAATTTGAATTCTTGTTAATATCTCGTGAACTATAATAGTTCATGTATTTGCTATTTAATATTGACTCAATTGAATTTCCATATTCAATTGATGCAAATTTTACCAAGCTGTTAACTTTGAGTAACATATATTTGATTTTCAACTAAATCTTACTACCCGAACTTTAATTATAGATTTCATCTGCAGTGGATGTTTGCTACTAATTTCAACGCTGTTGAAGTCCAACTTGACTACTCCACATTATGCTCCATGATTTGAAAATACCCTCCCAAACACATTATACATACTAGTGTTAATTTCCTTCCTTCCTTCCTTCCGATGTCATTGTGACTTTATAATAATCATATGTAAATTAATTGTACGGCTATATTGTATGCTAACTTATTGATATGTGCATGATAACTTGCTTCTGTGCATTTTATGTTTGTGACCACCTATTTATTTCATTGCTATAGGGTTACTACAAAGTTCTAGGAAAAGGACTCCTACCAAAACAACCAGTCATCGTGAAAGCCAAGTTCTTCAGTCGAAGAGCAGAAGAAAAAATCAAGAAAGTTGGTGGATGCTGTGTTCTTGTGGCGTAAAATCATGTCAAACACTTGTAATTACGAGAAATAAATAACCAGCTGTTTTTGAAAGTGGATTTTTTGTGTCCTGCCTTCTTATTTACTTCCATCTTTCCTTCCATTTTTCCCCACAAGTGGTTTGAATAGAAAAATGCATATATTCAATGTTCCAGTGAACGTTGTCACTTCCTGTTAATTGTACCGTTTCTGTATTTAGACCTTGTACTCTGGCCGCTAAATTCATGGAGAAGGGGGGGGGGGGGGTTCTAAATTAAATTGCAGATGCACACAAAAGAATGGACTAACTAAATGATATGTATGAAATGCGCGTTACTGGTTGGATTTTTAAACTACTCATTAGTCATCCGTGTGTTTTTGTGTAGTGGCAAATGGAACCAAAGATTGCATGGCACACTTCCTACTCAGTTTGTGTCTATAACATTTCCTCCCCAGTCTGCTTAGCTTAGTAGAGTGACCACCTCGCTGCATGGGCTGGTCTGAGGAAAAGGGTTTGATTCCTGGATGTCAAAATTGAACAGGAAGCTGCACTCTTAACTTTCATCATAGATGTTTAGGTGAATTCTATAAAATGAACTCCAGGTGTTCTTGGACAGATTGAAGTAAAGGAAGTCTTGCGTGCAGTGCAGTGCTATTTGAATACCAAATGCATGCTACATTGAGGTTGAGGTCAGAGTGTAAAATGTGTTTTTAGTCCTCGTCGGACGTAGTCCAAAACTGGGACTTGTGTTTTGGGTTCCCTTCGGGCGCCTGGACAGATTTTCTTACAAGCTGGTACAAACTCAATAAGGAGACATGTGCACATAGATTTATTTTTGATTTGGTTTAAACTTTGTACAAAGGCAAGATATAATGGGTTGAATGTGTTTTTTTCAAAGTTGGTACATTACAAGTCATGATGTGAATATCACTTTGTTTTATTGTCGAACGTGTCATTAATAGTTCCTGGGGTATGCCTTGACCAATCTCATTCGAACTTTGTCTTTATACCCGTTTCATGCACATTTGTAGTTAATATACTAAATACTATCCCAATATTTAAACATAATCTGACGATGCTTTTTTATTGTTAGGCCCCGTCATGTTAGTGATTTTGTCAATGTCATTGATGATGACTTGTTCATTATGCAACTACAGGAGAAGAATAGGAAGGGCCTGTGATCACATTTTCGGGACAAAAAAAAAAATCGCAGTATGTATTTATGTAAGATTGTTATTGAGCTACAAGTAATAATACCTGGGAATGGCGAACGTGTGTTCTTTATGTAAAGGACAAAGCATGACATTTTTTTTTAGAACCAGAGGGTCAAAGGTCACAGTATGTGTTGTACATTTTTCTACTATAGTATGTAATTACATGGGGCAAATAACTCCTTCAAAATGGATCTTGCTATATTTTGGGGTCAAAGGTCAAGGTTAATACATGGGTTTGTGATTGTTCCTTGTATAACTCTCAGGGGTGGAATAGCTAGAGTATATTACGCTCGTATATATTAGCAGTTGATAGCGCTATTGGGTTAGATTCTGGTTAGTGAATCACTGTTCGTATTTAAAGTCACAAACTCTCGAACATTAGGTAGGTCATCAGCTAAAACTGATTTTCACCTGAACATTGATGACAAGATGGAATTCACATATGGAATTGTAAGGGCGTCAACCATTTGATTTTTTACTCATTCTTAAAAACTGCTAGCCAGGGCTTATTTTGTAATGCTAAACATTGTGATGAAATTTTCATTTCATAATTTTGTGAATTTTTGACTTTCTGAAAGCTGCCAGTTCAATTGCTTTTAATACTTTGTGTGTGTGCTCATAATTCTCTTTGGAGGACATGTAACCTCATCAAATGTATGATACCATATTATGGTTGTTACCGATTAGATATGACCGATAGTAACGATGGCAGTTGGATGGGCGTGTCATTAAAAACACTACTTTTATGTTGGTGTACTGTACGTTGTCTATTGGGTATGCATTAATTGAGCCGAGCTCTTTCGACCGTCAGCTCCGTCGCTTGCTCCGTGTGAAAACTGCCATTGTATGACGCGAGCAACCGATCAATCTGCTCGAGCAAATCTCATTACAAAGTTAAGTAATGGTAAACAGTTGCTCGGAGCGGGTGCGTGATACTCTGGTTCTGTCTTGGTGCATTGTGTTGTTTGTAATACAAAACTGTGTATAAAATAGATATTTGTGTAGTGGATGTTGTTTATAAAGAGCCTCTCCGGCTATGTTTTAATCTACCAATGACTTTGGTCAACTCAGATTTCTATTTTAGTCTTTTCATATAATCATTCCCGGGTATTACGCATTCAGATCGGGTTTATGCAATGCAATTTATCCGTAATTTACGGGAACATGTAGAAGTTAGAATCTAAGGAAACAATCCTGAATTATTCGAAAACCGTATAACTTTATAAAAATGGTTTCTTAATCGGGTTATTTTCCTTCCAGGCATTAAAATAATCCGTTACACGAATTGTTTAAATGATATTGACGATAAATACTCAACACAATTGGAACTATTTCAGGATTATTAGAACCGACAGAATTTTGGGGGGGAAATGCTGTTCACAACAATTACACTGCAGTAATTGCCACAGAAGCCTCCAATGAGCATCAAGTGCCAAACTTCATTTTCAATTTGTCGTTTTCTCACAAAAACCACAGAGCGGGATTTTTGCTATTTTGAGTGGTTTGACTTCAGGGATACAGACATTCCATTATTTTTTCTAACTGTCCCGTAACGTTTGGTCACATTCGTACAGCATTACAAGAATAGAGCCGATATTAATATGCTAATAATTAAACTATGTTATGGCATGGAGGTTATCGACAAGTTTCAAGTTGTCCACTGGAATTAAAGATTATAAACTAATGGATGTATCAAAAAACAAAACAATGGGACATACGATGTAACTGATACTACAGTGTACCCCAAAGTAATGTTTACATCAATTGTCTGTGAGTACGTTGTACCAGTTACCATGGTAATATTCTTAATGGTGCTATATTGCTTGAAGGGAGCATTAAGACGATATCCTATGAATCACTGACTACCGTCCAGTCTCAACAACAAATAAATGTAATTTCAATGGCTCTTCTGTAGAACTTACCTGTTTGCGGTGTACTCCGTATATACTGACTGGTCGTTGTCCTGACAAATATCGATATCGCCAGATTAAAGCTATCAGTAAAGTGTTGGTGTGGTTGTACGTTAAGGCGGAAGGATTTGTCTGGTCTTGCTGTATAGAAGGAGAAGATTTGACGCGATCTCCGAGAACTAAAATATTAGACTCTTTTACAACTCGCGTAGCCCTGTAACGAACGTAGACTCGAACAGACGGCTCTATCACCAACAGCAACATGATAAGTGCGACAAACAAAGTCTCTCCAATTGATGCAGAACACAGAATTGATGGCGTAAGTATAATAAAGGCATTGCATTATTATTATTATTTTGCTCTTTCTTTTCGAAACGTATGAACTAATTGACTTCAAATTTGGTAATTCAATAGCGTCTCAAACCGGACCGCGTGGTATCTTCCACAGACATTTCAATCCTGCACCCCTTTTTGGCGACCATCTTGGATCAGCAAACTCGTTTACTAAAAAAACTGGACTAAACATTGCGAAGATGTAACTGTATTAACATACGTCGGGATAAGACGATTTACCGTTGATTTTAGTTTAAAACCAAATTATTTCCTCATAGTATAATTTTAAAATATCATTAGAATAACACATAGAGTTATCGGCCAACTTTCAGATCCACGTGCCCGCCGTGTGTTCGAGGAAGCAAACCACTTTATTCCCAGCGCGCAAGGTGTTTATTGAACCTAATATTATAATGCATGTTATTGATAATCGTTAACGAAGAATGTTTAAACTATTAAACAATATAAGGTGAAAGACGACGAACAGAAGAAGAAGAAGAAGCGGCGGAGACTACTTCTATGGTTACTGCTAGGATGTGGCGTACCAGCTTTGCTAGCTATTATAATTGCTACAGTGTGTGCTACAGGTATGGTCAGTTACATTTCACGTAGGATTGGTAGTTCGCGAATAGCTCGGATTCTAAATATTGTATAAGCTCGTCTGTTCGCGGGTTGTATATGTCCGTCTTGTTTAATAAACTGTTTGTGTTACTTATAGTGTTACCAGCTGATGAACGCCATAATAATTTTGATATAACGTTAGCACCATACAATACAACAAGTGTTAACTTGTCACTACATCTGACATCCACAATCATGATCATTACAACTTCTCCATTGATGACCACTGCGCCACTATGCGACGACAACGAGTATCACTGCGGAGATACAACCTGCGTAGCGTTATCTGTTGTATGCGATAATATGCAGGACTGTCAAAATGGTGCCGATGAACGAGGATGTAAGTACAATCAAAATCTTTGAATGAGGGTGTGAACACACGCAATGAGGGTGTAAATACAAAACAAATTCTTTGAACGAGGATGTAAGTACGCGTGGAGCAGAGATCTCTTTTTTCTGAAACGCAATGCGTATAAATGAAATCCTATTTGAATTACTGGTATACTTAGTAATACTGTAAAATTGAGATAACATGATGCATCCGCAAACTACTGATAATACAACAACAATTCCAGAAACGTTTAAATCATAAATTGCAAATATTCACTCTACTTCATACAATACACAAAAACCCTATTGTCTTATTAGGCTGTTATTGTATGTAACTATTTGTTAAACGCGTTTTTTTTAGATATATTACTGTCATGACTTATATTACGTGAGCTCGAGGGTGCTAAACTATTTGTATATCAATGCGCATGCGCATGATAAAAGATACGACAATTTGTTTATAGTAACACCAAATTACTAATCTAATGTTGCAAACCTTATAATTGTCATCTCAAACGACAGGTCCATGTGACGGTTTTTCGTGCGAAGGATATCCCTACGAATGTTTGGACCAAACAGTTGAGTGTGACGGTATTAACGACTGTGCTGGCGCCACTGACGAACGAAACTGTAAGTCCATAAACTCAGAGTACGATGGAAATATAAGTAAA